TAAATAAATAAATAAATAAATAAATAAATAAATAAATATTTTTTAAAAAGATACATCCATACATACAAAATATTAAGACGAATAAACCTAAAAATAAAGTCATTGAAGGTTGAAAAATATTTTTAAAAATTGGAGGCTGAGAAGGGCTTGGTCTGTAAAACACTTGCCTTGCAAGCATGAGATTTTGAGTTTCTCTGTGGCTTTGGAGCCTGTCCTGGAACTAGCTCTTATAGACCTGGCTGGCCTTGAACTCACAGAGATCCCCCTGCTTCTGTCTCCCGAGTGCTGAGATTAAAGGTATACACCACCGCTGCCAGGCAAGAGAGCCTTTCTTAAAGGAAGTGGGTACCAGTCCTCAGGATGAAATTGGAGGTTGTCTTCCAGCTTCCATATGCAGGTGCACACATGCACCCCACCCACCCACACACGAGCACATACAAGGTAAGTGGAATGAGGGCTGAGGAGGGGGTTCAGTTGGTAATGTGTTTGCTGCACAACAAATGTGAGCACACAATCTAGATACCCAACACCCATGGGGGGTGCAACTGTGTGTCCCTGTAATCCGGACAGTGGGTCCCTGGGGCTTTCTGGATGGCTAGACTGCAGTCTAGCCCAAACTGGCAAGTTTCAGGTTCAGTGTGAGACCTTGTCACAGCCAGGGCAGTGGGCCAGCGAGATGGCACAGCTGGTTAAAGTTCTTTCTGAACACATAGAGGACCTGAGTTCAATCTCCAGGGCTCACACAGTGGATGGAAAATGTGAAGGCCAAATCTTCCCTCACCTCCACACATATAGGGTGCAATGTATACACACACACACACACACACACACACACACACACGAACTGTAACACAAAACCATTGCTTTAAAATAAATGTCAGGGGGTTGAAGAATCAGCTCAGTGGTAAAAGCACTTGTTCCTCTTGCAGAGGACCCCGTTTCAAGTCCCATCACCCATGGTGGCAGCTCACACACTAATTCCAGCCCCAGGGAATTGGACACTTTCTTCTGTATCTGTGGGGACCAGTCACACATGCAGTGCAGATATACATACATACATACTTACACACACGAAGGCAAAACATTCATGCACATAAAATAAAATAAAACTGGGGAGAGTGATTGAGGAAGCTGCCCAATTTTGGCCTCTGGTCCTTGCACGCACATGAACATACAAACAGGCATGTACACATACAAGGAAGGAAGGAGAAGAGGAAACTACCGTACAAGCTCCAACCGTGCAGAAATGTTGGTGCATTATCAGTTCAGATAAAATGTGGTCCCAGAGGAACAGAGTAGAAAAGAGGAAAGAGACAGAGATGAAGGCGAGAGGAAGGAGCTCAGTGCACGGCAGGACAGGGCCATGGAGTCTGGTTCTCAAGGTCTTCTGGATAATATGAAACTAACTGCATCTAGAATTCTTTTGGGAAAGAACTAGAAATCTGTGTGACTAGCTGGGCATTGGTGGCACCTGTTAATTCCAGTATTTGGAGGCAGAAGAAGAAGAATCTCTGTGAGTTCAAGGCCAGCCTGGTTCTACATACCAAGTTCCACGACAGCCAGGGCTACACGGAGAGAACCTGTCTCAAAAAAATTAAAGAAAGAGAAAGGAAGGAAGAAAAAAACCTATGTAAATATAAAAACAAAACTGAATCACAAAGGGTCAGGTAGGAGTATTGATTAAAGTAAGGGTCACAGCACCGTAATGGCTAGGTGAGGGCTTGTAGCCCATTAGAGAGGTACAGGACATTTTGTGGAGAGGCAGCTAGACCCTGACCCCACGACACACGGTGAGCCCTAGGGCCTGGGCTGATTCTGGTAGAAAAAATACCTAAGGAAAGACATCTCTGGCTATACCAGGAAATAATTCCAGTTCTCTGGGTTCTCTGGATAAGGGAGATGTTTGGCCTGCATGTATGTCTGTGTGAGGGGTGTCAGATCTGCTATGTGAGTGCTGGGAATTGAACCCAGGTCCTCTGGAAGAGCAGTCAGCACTCTTAACTGCTAGGCCATCTCTCCAACCCCTAGGTAGGGGAGATGATAGGGGAGGAGAAAAGGACCCAGGAGTTGGGGGTGCGGGGAGACAGTGACTATCTGTTAGGCTTAGGGAGGGACCTTAACCCTCTTGGGCTCAGGCCGTCTCTGGCCTATTGAAGATCTGCTACAGAGAGTGAACAGATTCCTTGCATGGAATTCATAGACACTTCTTAGGCTAAGTAACAAGTCTAGCAGTCTCTGGAACTGAAAGGTGCTGCCCCTCAGCTCAGAGCACACCACGGACCAGTAAGTGGCCAAAGATGTGTACATAGCAGATGGCAGAGCTGAAATCCAGCTGAAATCCAGCGGCTCAGCAGATTTTACTCCGTGAATAAAGTTCTTTCAAATTGCCTAAGTTAGTTGCCTACGCTAATAATTCAGAGTTTTCCTGTTAAAGTTGGCTTGAAAATTCTTTTCTGCTCTTGAGACAAGGTCTTACACCGTCCAGGATGGCCTCAAACTCCCATCTTCCTGCCTCCACCTTCTGAGTGCTGGGATTAGAACCCTTTGCCACAACACTTGGCTCCTAGATTCTTTCCTAAAAGATGTGGGGATCCTGGCCCTGTTCTCACAGGAGGGGCACGGCTTTCATGAGTCCCTTGATCCTGAGTGGAAGACCAGCTCCCCAGGAGGACTGAGCTTGTTCTACAACTCCTCTAGAAGCAAGGTTGTCAGTCGGGTGCACTATCTCTAACACTTATCAAAAATGGGAAAAAACAGAAGGTGGACTAAGAAGGTTGTATGTTTCAAGAAAAATGGGAACAAGCCCGTTCCTTTATGGCTGTGAAGAATATCGCACACCAATTTCATCCGTCATTTCCGTGGCCTGCCTGGTCCCTGAAGGCATTTTCGAGGGTGTGACCCGCCTGGACTTGCCTGTATCCTCAGCCGGGGGCAGAAGTTGGGGTAGAACCCTGATTTTGTCACAGGCCCTGGGCTGTTGGGAAAGAGCCCATGTTGAGGGGCAGCACGGGCCTCCCGCCTACCATTACACTTGGTGATGAGCTGGTCCTTCTTGCTAGACTCCTGCAGGACTTTGTTCTTGACACTAGAGAGCCTGCGCAGGGGAAGTTACAATGAAAGGGTGGGCAGGTAGAAGGCAGATGAGCCCCCAGCCTCCACACCTCTTCCTGGGGCCCACTCACTCACGCTTTTTCAAAGGCCAGCTTCTCCTTCTCCAGTTGTTTGGACAGTACCTCCACCTCTCCGAGGGCAAACTGCAATTTCTCCTCTTCCTTGGCCAGGAGAGCCTTGGTTTTGGCATGAGCAGTTTTCTCTTCCTGCAGGGGAGGTGATTACAGCTTTATCCCAAGACACCTTGGGTCTTGTAGGGTCCCCTAACTAACCCCCTTTCTCAAAGGTGCTGAAGCCTGGGTGCAGGAAGACTCAGCCTCACTACAAGGACCCTGCCCAGACACCGGGATCTTGGGAATCGGGAGGAAATCAGGAGTCTGCAGACACCATTACTCACCACCAGTTTCTTCTCTATCTCTTGGAACTCTTCTTTACTGACAAAATTTTCGTCCTGGAGAACCATCTGCAACAGAGCCCGGCTCAGGAAGGGGCTGGGACTAAGGTGGGAGGGGTTGCTCTCTAAGGACCAGGGACAAGGATGGATAAGGGGATGATGTCCAGGACTTCAGGCCTTGGGACAGGAGATTTTAGGTCCAGAGATTTACTGAGGCCCAGTCCTAAGTGCTCCCTGCAAGGAGCGAGCCGCCTCATGAAGACAGCTCATGCTGTATGTCGTGGGGGAAAGCCCAGCGGACTGTGGTGCACAGAACAGCCCTGGACCCAGCTTTACTAAGGGCCAGGATTCCTCTCAGAGACAGTGGCATTAATCCTGATGTCTGACTGCTAAATATGAGAAGAGAAAAAATGTTCCAGATGGTGGGGACACACATGCCAAAGTGAGCTGCCAAGAGAAAGATCTGGGGACCCTCAGGGAATTGGAGGGAATTCAGTGCCCATAGAAGCATACATTTTTTTTGGAAATAGGCTAAGTATGCCTCTCACAATCCCCCTCGAATCTAACTGCACAGAAGGGAAGAAACTGTCTAAAAATCATTAGAGTGAAAAATAGATGTGAAGCCAGTTTTATTTTTTGAGCTAGAGAAATATCTCAACATTGTTACGAAAATAGAAAAAAACAAAAACTGTTGGCTCCTGCTTGCCAGCACCGAGGCAACCTGTGACGCCAATGCTTGGCACCCACTAACTGAGGCTGGAAACAAACGCACACCGAAAGGTCTGGAGACCCTTAAACCATCACCGGGAAAGGCCAAATTCGTATAGGACTGCATTTGACACTGGGGAGGAGGATGACTTAATGTTCTGGTTTCTGTGCGCAGAAGGCTTTGGGAGTCAGTGAGGTCATTTCCACTAAAAGTGGAGACACTGAGGTTCAATGAGCATCTTCCTGTCCCTTCAGCAACCAGGCAGAGTGGGGAACACTGCCTGATTTGGGTTAACTTCAGGCAGGTATTGCCCCCCACAACCCCCAGTCCCGCTCTTCTTGGTTCTGCCCCTAGCAGCCAGGTGAGCCCCGCCTCCGGGATGACGCCCTCCGCACTGTATTCTAGCCACGCCCCCTAATCCAAAGAGGGCCTGGCCTCGCCCCCGCGGGGGAGGCGTCCAATTGCGGCCTTTCCCCGAGCTCTGGCTGCCTACCACATTCCTCAGCTGGTGGATCAGCTCCTCCTGAGATTCAATCACGTCCCGCAATTGATCGAAGGCGAGACACACAGATCCGGAGCCCCCCTGCGACCACCCAAGGGGCGTCGCCATCTTTCGCCCCCGCCAGCTCGTTGGAAATGGCCTCCCGCTGCGCGCCTTACCCGTCGCCAGCCAATGAGACTGCAACGCCACAGAGCGCCCTGGCAACCGGGGGCGGGGACTTCCTCTGTTAACAAGGCCGAGGACCGGCTTTCAGAAAGCTTCTCGAGGCCGGGGCGTGTCGCGCAGTGGGTAGAGCGCTGGCCGGGGAAGAGCCAGGATGGATTCATCCCTCAACAATGCAGCAACAAATGACTGGGCTTGGTAGTTTAAGATGGAAACCTCAGCATTCAGGAAGCTGGAAGATTGTGAGTTCAAGACCAGCCATGATCTACATGGAAAAGCCCTGCCTCAAAATAACAAAGCCCACAAAAATACAGACGCTCAGTTGAAAGAGTGCGTGCCTCTTATTAGCATGCATGGAAAGCCTGTAATCCCAGCACTTTGGAGGTAGAGGCAGGAGATAAGAAATTCAGAGTCATATTTTCATACATATTGTCAAACATAGCAAGTTCAAGGCTAGTTTGGTGGTTGGTGGCTCACAACCATCCTTAATGAGATCTGGTGCCCTCTTTTGGCCTATAGGCAGACATGCAGGCAGAACACTGTACACATAATAAATAAATAAATCTTAAAACAAACAAGCTGGGCATGGTGGCAGATGCCTTTAATCTTCACCCTCTGTAAATTCCAGGATAGCCAGAGCTACATAATGAGACTTTGTCTCAAAAAAAAAAAAAAAAAATCAAGGGGGTGGGAAGTTGGCAAGAGAAGCAGTCAGTAGAAACCTCATGTGGGCATAGTCTATAGTCTATACTGTCCTGTATTGCCACTAGCCTTGCCTGGTTCTCAAAATGTGACCTATGTGCCTAAGAATTTCAGAAAAAAAATGTTTTACTTTTACGTGTATCAGTGTTTTGCCTGATGTATATCTGTGCCTAGTGCCTGTGGGAGCTCAGAAACGGGGCCTTAGATTCCCTGGAACTGAAGTCATGGATGGTTGTGAGCCACTTTGTGGGTGCTGGGAACTGAACCTGGGCCTTCTGAAAGGGCAGGTGCTCCTGAATGCTGAGTCATCTCTCTAGTCATGTGCCTAAGTATTTAATTTTTTAAATGTTTTGTGTGTGTGTGTGTGCGCGTGCATATGTGTGCAGGTGCCCATAGACGCCAGAGGAGCTGGATTCCTTGCAGCTGCAGTTATGGATGGTTGTGAACCATCTGATGTGGGTGCTGGGAAGTGAACTCTGGTCCTCTGGGAGAGCAATGCATGCTTGTAACCACTGAGCTGTCTCTCCAGCCTCCTGCCTAAAAATTTTTAAAGTTTTTTTTATTGTTGTTGTTTTTTCTAAAAAAAAAAAAAAAAACATCTTTAGTGATAATTTCCATTGTAGGAAAGAATTATAGGCCTGTTCCACCACACCTATGTAGTTGTTATCTTTAGTTTTGTGGATAGTGGTGTTTTAGACATGTCTCTGTGGTGGTCTGACTAGGAATGGCCCCCATAGTCTAGTGTTCGAGTGCTTGGCTCATAGTGGTTGGCACAATTAGGAGGTGTGGCCTTGTTGGAAGAAGTGTGTCACTGTGTGTGTGTGTGTGTCACTGTGTGTGTGTGTGTGTGTGTGTGTGTGTGTGTGTGTAGGGCCTTTGAAGTCTTACATGCTCAAGCTAGGCCTAGCGTGGCACAGTCTCCTGCTGCAGAACTCTCAGCTCCTCCAGTACCGTGTCTGCCTGCCTGCTACCATGCTTCCCACCATGACGATAAAGGACTGAACTTGGAAACTCTCAGCCAGCCCCATTGAAATGTTCGTGCGCTGCCTAGCCATGGTGTCTCTTCCCAGTCTCCGTGTGTCACTCCTGCTGCCTTGCACGCTGTGGCTCGGGCTTGACTTCAGCGTGCACCAGCCATCTTCCCCGGGGTTCTGAGTCACCACCCTCAGCAGACTCTCCGCGAGCAGCTCATTTTGGAAAGTGGCACTTCACGGCTCATCTCAGACAAAACCAGACTAGAACTTGGTCTAGCGGACCAGTGCGTCAATAGTCAGCTATAAGAAATAGTAGTAGAGCTATGGCAGTGCTAGGAAAAAGATAAATAGCCGGGCGGTGGTGGCGCACGCCTTTAATCCCAGCACTCGGGAGGCAGAGGCAGGCGGATCTCTGTGAGTTCGAGATCAGCCTGGTCTACAAGAGCTAGTTCCAGGACAGCTAGGGCTGTTACACAGAGAAACCCTGTCTCAAGAAAAAAAAAAAAAAAAGCAAAATCTTCAAAATGCTAGCTATGATTAGAACTTGGATGATGTTAATGCTGGGGATGAAATAAGCTACTGAAATATTCTAGGTAAGGGGGTAAAGCTGCTACGGTGTAAGTGGATGGTGGTTTTGGAGTGGAGTCTAATGGAATCAGAAGTTCCAGATGTTTTGGAGGGAACAAGTCAGACTTCCATGGCGGAGTATTGCACACCTGGAATCCTGGCACTAGTGATGTCAAGGCAAGAAGAGAAGAAGTTCAAGGCCAGTCTGGGCTTCCTGAGACCCCCCCTTCTAAAAACAACCCCAAAATGAAAACCAATAAGACAGTGGTCTCAACCTTCCTATGCTGCCACCCTTTAATCCATTCCTCACGTTGTGGTGACCCCAAACATAACACTGTTTCATACTAATGCATGACTTTTGCTTCTGTTATTAACTGTATGTAAACATCTGACATGTGACCCCCCCAAAGGGGTCTTGACCCAGAGGTTGAGAACCACTGCACTCGGCATTTGATCTAGACGTCCGAGGTATCATTTGCCTCTGACCCAGCCCACCTAAAATACAGGCAAGTTCTCAAACTCAGCTGTACTGAGTCTCACATGTATGTTGAGCCAAGTAGGACATGTGACCAGTTGGACCATGTAAATACCAAACACCGTGAATGGTATCTTTAAACCAAGACTTTGCTAAGTATGGCCCACTGGGAATATAGCCAGGAAAGAGCTGGGTAGCACCAATGTTTCTGATGCTAAATCTAGGCTTGATCTAGATTGGCTGTGGTACACTGGACTGCTATCTGAAAGTACAGAAGGAATTCTTAGCAGAAGTCACTCCGGTTCCGGTACAGGTGCATCCTTCACCTATAGGCGCTCTCTGTGGGTTCGTTCTCTCTGAAGAGAAATAAAGATTAGGTCGCTCCTAGGTATTTGACTTGAGGATATCATGTTTTATACAGTTATTTCAGGATAGGAACTGGTCTTTATCAACAGGTTCTCTCTCTCTCTCAAGACAGGATTTCTCTGTGTAGCTCTGGCTATCTTGGAACTCTATAGACTCTGAACTCACAGAAATCGCCTGCCTCTGCCTCCTGAGAGCTTGGATTAAAAGTGTGAGGGGTACACCACCAACACCAGGCTTATTTTCACTTTTAATGTGTGTTGTCATTTTTACATTGTTTCTTGCTAAAATTTTATATATAAATTGTGTTTCCAAATTCCCCCCTCCAAAGCCAAAACCCCATTTTCTGCTCCTTCAGAGGACCCACATTAGGTTCTGTCTGTCACTCACATCATGGTGAACAACCGATGCCCTTTCTGGCCTGCAAGGGCGCTGCTCACACATGGCACACATACACACACGCAGACAAAACACCTATACACAGAAAAGGTGATAAATGCAAAACAAAAAATCCTTAGCCAGGAGGTGGCAGCACACACCTTTAATTCTAGCACTTAGGAGGCAGAAGCAGGCGGATCTCTGAGAGTTTTTTTTTAATTTACTTATTATGTATACAATATTCTGTCTGTGTGTATGCCTGCAGGCCAGAAGAGGGTACCAGACCTCATTACAGATGGTTGTGAGCCACCATGTGGTTGCCGGGAATTGAACTCAGGACCTTTGGAAGAGCAGGCAATGCTCTTAACCACTGAGCCATCTCTCCAGCCCGGATCTCTGAGAGTTTGAGGCCAGCCAGGTCTACAGATGAAGTTCTAGGACAGCCAGGACTACACAGAGAAACCCTGTCTTGAACCCCTCCTCCCCCCCCGTCTGGAATTCATCCCATTAGCATTATGTACGATTCTAAACACAGACTACTTCCACAGAGAATCTTTGGTCCAAAGTGACTCCACGCATGAGGTAGTGGACAAAAGCCAAACAAAGAAAAGCCATAAGGTCGCATTTTGTATATAAAATTGTTTAATGTTTACTTTGTTAAAATACACTCATTCTAGATGCAATGATCAGGTGGCCAGACTTTTCAGCATTTTCCCATGTGTCATTCCTGACTCTGGTCACAGAACACTCCCACCTCCAAACACTGAGAGTGATGCAAAGGTAGACTCAGGAACTTGGTGACCACTGCATGAGGTACCAACAGCGCAGGCCCAAACATTAAGATGTATAGTAACTTGGTCCTTTCCCAAAATAAATAATTAGGACACCAATCTAATACTTGAAGTGATACAAACTAAGTGCCAGCTCCTGGGAGGGCAGTGCATGCAGACAACGGGTGGCTGTGTGGCCAGTGCTGGGATCTCAAGGTGCCCCTGGCAGCGCTAGCTCTGAGCACAGTGATGAGGAGAATGAAAGCAGCTGCAGCTCAGCCAGCCTGCTGGGCCCTGATGCCAGCAGGGCATGGCGTTTCCTGTCATGCCTAACAGGTCCCGGAAGCATGCACGGTGATACTATGTTCTTACCTGAGCTGACCAGTGAGGCTGAGATGGCTCCTGCTTGAGCAGATGAACAAGGACAGGGGCTCCTTCCGGCTGCCCTGCTCCTCACCGGTAGGAGCTTCCTTCTCCCTCTCACTAAAGAGAGCACTTCATCTGAACGTCAGTTCCTGGCCCCGGGTGAGCCCTCACTCCCATCACAGTCTCAGTCCTGGGTCTCAAACTGTGAGCCGCACTGGCAGCTAGAAAAGCCATAGCTAAAGAGTTTACACTGCCAGGAAACCTCGTCAAAGACAGAGGCAAGAGTACAAAGCTTATTTTATCAATATGAAGACAAGGTATCTAAATTATAAGCAAGAAATTAAGAGTTTAACGCAATTCTACATAGTGCCAAATAGATTAAACTACCCTTCAACCAGAGCAAGTCTGGCCCTCTTGAGGAAACCAGATGTGAGTACTGTAGTCCATCAGCAGTAAATAAAACAGTACACCAGGCTATGAGAACAGACAGTCGGTGTGACATTTAATGGAGCTGGGCTAGACTGACTCTGAGGTCATCACCAAGATAATTCATCACTGCCATGAAATCCACAAACTATTCATGGCATCCAGCCACTTTCTAGCCCAGGCTGAGGCTGGGAGAGGAGAGCTTTGCGTTCTTCATGGCTAAGAGCTCTCCACAGGCTTGTCTGGTTCATGGGTATATTTTTACAACGCATGGTTTTTGCTGTTGTTTGTTTTGAGACAGGGTTTCACTATGAACTTGCTATGTAGAGCAGGCTGGCCTAGAACTCACAGTAATCTATCTGCCTCTGCTTCCTGAGTGCTGGGTTTAAAGGTGTGTTTCACCGTGCCTGGCACATTTTACAAAGTAAATTCCCTGCTGCTCATAGGTTAAAGAGGTTTTCAAAAAATTCGGAAGGTAAGTCTGGGGATGTAGCTTAGTAGGCTAGCATGCACAATGCCTTAGGTCCTTTCCCCAGCAGCACAGCAGCCAGGAGTGACTCTAGCATTCAGGAGGTAGAGGCAGGAGGGTTTCAGGGTGGTGGCACATACCTTTAGTCTCAGTACTCCAGAGGCAAAGGCAGATCTCTGAGTTCAAGGCCAGCCTGGTCTACAAAGTGAAATCCGGGACAGCCAAGGCTACACAGAGAAACCCTGTCTTGAAACAAACAAAACATAATAATAATAAATAATGATGATGATTAATAATAAAAAGGGGCTTGGTGTGGTGGCACACACCTTTAATCCCAGCACTTGAGAGGCAGAGACAGGCAGATCTCTGAGTTCGAGGCCAGCCTGGTCTACAGAGTGAGTTCCAGGACAGCCAGAGCTACACAGAGAAACCCTGTCTAGAGAAAAAAAAAGTTCAAAGGTTTTGGCTATATTTCAAGGCCAGGCTTTGAGGCCAGCCTGGGATACATGAGGCCCTATCTAAAAAGAAATGAAATATGAACCAGTAACCTTTCAAAGTCAGTTTCATGACAATCTGGGCAGCTCAGGAACTCAGATCTGGCATTGCCCTCCACAGGAAGGCACAACCACCCAGTCTGGGAAATCAATGACTTAGTTCTAGAAAGAACTGTTTTTTCTTCCTCTGAAAGATTTGTATGATCCCTGGTCGTCTAGTGGTAGAAAAAAAAAAGATTTGTATGAAAGGGTCCTACTTTTTAAAAAACATGTATGGGTGTTTTGCCTGCATGTATGTATGTGCACCAGGTGCATGCAGTGACCGTGAAGGCCAGAAGGGGGAGCTGGATACTCTGGGACTGGAGTTACAGATAGTTGTGAGCTGCCACGTGGGTATTTGGAATCGAACCTGAGTCCTCTGAAAGAGCAGCCGGGCTCTTCTTAACCACTGAGCCATCTCTCCAGTCCTGGTCCTGCTTCTGAAAGATCAGCAGGGTAGCAGTCCTGAAGGGTGCAAACTGGTGGCAGAGGTGTTCCAGACGGCAGAAGCATTCCAGGGAAAATCTCTGCTTTGCCAACCTGGCTAGAGTCATCTGAGAAACAGGACGATCTTTCACGTTCTGTACTTCCTCACCTAGTCACATGACCCAGGCCAACCATTTGTCCTGTTCTGATTCATGAAAGAGGGAATGCCAGCTCTGCAAATTTTGAGGAGGCATAAATTTAAAAAAGAGAGAGAGACATGTGAAAACCATTGCTTTGTAGTAGACACTCCATAAATACTGAATGCATGGAAGACCACCTCGTACTAAAATGCACAGGACTCTGAGTCAAACAAAGTGATTGTTAAGGCTAGTATTAGCCCTCCGTGCCACAGAGCCAGGCTCCTCCCTTTGGGTCTCTAGGCCCAAGCCTCCTCTTGGGTTTGACCACTGCACTTCTGTGCATACTTGTGCTCAGGGCACAACCTACCATACTAAATGACGATTTAAAGGGGAAGGGACACAGTGCTCTCTAGTTGCAAAATGGACCAGGAATCTACACCGAGGAGCTGACAGTCTTGTATTTTACCTTCTTCCTTAGCCCTGCCTTGAGCTCATAAAGATTGGTCTGTCTCTGCCTGTGCTAGGATTAAAGGTGTGCGCTACCGCGCCTAGCCTGCTCACAGATTTGACTTTCTAGACCCTTTGAGAGAGCTGACTAAGGAGGTAAAAGGAACCTTACTGGGTAAGGTATCTGATGCCTGTAATCCCAGCTCTTAGGCAGAACATTGCAAATTCAAGGCCATCTTGGAGTGTATAGTGAGTCCCAGGCTAGTCTGGGCTACAGAATGAGCCCTTCTCCCAAAAAAGAAAGAAAAGAAACCACAAATCAGGCAGTTTGCTAATGCTCCTGCCTCAACAAACTTGGATAACACCAAACTACTGGCCAAACAGTTCAGTTTCTCTCTACTCTCCTTAGGAAGGGGAAAACCCAACACTGGGGGATGGCGACTATGGCAGAGAGGTGTGACTCTCAGCAGACGCCATCAGTAACTGTGAAGTGCATTGGCCGAGCCTAGAAATGCCTAGGGAGTGGGCTTTTGCTGCAAGGATGAAGGCAGAAATGCGGGTCTTCTCTGGGATGCCCTGCTCTCCATTCCCGTAACTGAGATGAACTGCCCCTGCCCTGGAGCCGGCCTGGAAGAACTGGATGGTGACGAGCGTGGCTCCATGTCCTGCAGCTCTGCCCAACAAAGTCAGCAGATAGTAAGTGTTCATCATCTCCTAACTTGTATTATAAAATGGATTTGCAATGTAAATAGTAACAAGTAAGAAACCCCCATCCTGAGTCAGGCCGTCTTCGTCTCAGCCGCCCCTCCGGAGGCCGATTAGCTTGGAAAGTTTTTCACAGTTTTCAAGTTTCAGTGACTCTGCCTTCTGCCGCAGCCGCTCATCTCGATACAGCCCCGCCAGATTGGTCAGCTCTGACTCTGAAAAGACACGACAGGTGCTGGTTCGCCAAGGCCGAGCGCTTTCACGTCAGTATCCCTAGACCACACAGGCCTTACTTCCATACCACTCCTCCACCCTGCAGGAGCCCGATGGGCACGGCACCAGGTACTGAGGGGAAAGCCGCCTGGGACCCGACCCCACAGTCTGCGCTCTCATAAGAGCACTAGGCTTAGTTCTTATCAACAAAACATTTGGCCCTGGGCTTAGGAAGCTTGCACAGGTGCTGAAAGAGGAGATGGTCGCGCCTTGCTCCAGTGCCGATCAGACAGCAGGGGGAGAGCCTGGAGCCGCGTCGCCTATTCCTGTCATCCGAACAAAGACAGCTGCTTCATTCTTCCCTCGGCATTGCAGGGCCCTAAGTCACACATGACACGGGGCCTACTCTGGAAGCTGAGCATCTACAGAGGGTCAGGCGGAAGCTTTCTTCATCCTCTCACCACATATAGGGTCCACAACTCAAATGGCTCTTTTAAAAGTGAAATCATCTCAGACCAGTGGCCTCTGTGCCCTTGACTAAATAAATTTCACTTTCTCCTCATGATAGAGTAGGCCATTCTATTTTTAGCTGGAATATAATCTCTGCTGTTTCCCAACTCCATGGTTGTTGGTCTAAGGTTTTTTTTTTTTGTTTTGTTTTGTTTTGTTTTGTTTTTTCGAGACAGGGTTTCTCTGTGGCTTTGGAGCCTGTCCTGGAACTAGCTCTGTAGACCAGGTTGGTCTCGGACTCGCAGAGATCCGCCTGCCTCTGCCTCCTGGGTGCTGGGATTAAAGGCGTGCACCACCATCGCCCGGCTCTTGGTCTAAGTTTTTATTCTCTTGTAAGTTTCTCCTTCTTAGGGGGAGCTCCTGAGATGCACCTTTGGAAACATGTCATGTGTGCCGCATATTAGCAGGACAGCATGCTTGGATGGGCGTCGTGGCTTCTCAGGGCTGCCAGCAGCAGGCAGCTGTTAAAGAACCATGCTTATGAAAATGCTATTTTAATCATTTTGAAATATATCTTCCATCCTTAATCATCTTTGCTGACAGCTTTTGTTTATCTTGGTAGAACAAGATACACCTGTCTGATTAATCAGCAAACTACCCAAATGCAGGAATTAGCCTTCAGCCAGAAGGAACAATGGGCATGGACCTCCGAATAAATGTCTACCAACACAAAACACTGCCTGGCATTTCTGCTCACAATGATTCTATTTACACCAAGTAAGGCCCAAAGTGCAGCGGAGGTGCAGGACTCCAGGGTGGGGTGGATGAGCACGACAACCCTCCCTGAACAATTGGACTGCAGGCCCAGACTCCAGCCAGCAGTGGCTTGGCAGGCAGTAGGTCTCCCAGGCTGCAGAACAATGTGCTTTTTACCCTTGGTGCGGGTGCCCACAGTGCTTGCATGCCAGGGCCTGCCTTGGCACAATCACCTTGCAGGTGATGGGGCTCTGTGGAGGGTCGTGTACGGCACCCAAATGCTAAGCTTTTGCTCCTGCACCCCACTAGGTGCTCAGCATTCCTTCCTAGGGTTCTTTGGCAGGCAGGAAGGCTATGCAGGAGACTTCTGTGAATCAGTCTGCATGCACCTCGTTCTTTACAGTCAGTAAAGGAACTGTGTCCAGGACAGACTCTGCGGCTCTGCTCCTCACTGCACCAAGCCGTTTTGTTTATTGACTTTTCTGTGTCTCATTCTCAGAAGTCCTCATCAGAGGAATGAGAGACTAATGAAGCCTAGTATTTTCTATCTTGACAGCCACTGTAACAAGCTGAAGAGAGATACCTGTCACATGAGACATGGATTGCCTTCACAAAGCTCACTGAAATCAGGGCAGATAATGCTGCTTTGTAGCAATGAAGAGGCACAAGCCAAGGGCCTGCTCAAAGAATATAATACTTCTAACAAATTCTGTTAATACTCAATAACTTAAAAAATATTTGGGGGGATGGAGAGATGGCTCAAAGGCTAAGAGCACTTTTTGCTCTTACAGGACCTGGTTCAATTATCAGCACTCATATGATGTTCATAACTATCCATAACTAGGTCCGGGGGAGCCAATGCCCTCTTCTGACCTCTGTAGACACCACGCACACATGTGGTGCACAGACATACATGCAGACAAAACCTTCACATATAAAATAAAATGAACGAATCTTTAATAAAATTACGAGTATGTATAAGTGCTTCATATAGTGTATATATGTACACCATGCACCGACACACACAGATCTGCGGTCAGAAGAGGGTGCTGGATCCTTTGGAGCTGGGGTTACAATTGTGAGTCACTCCACATTTGTGCCGGGAATGGAGGCCTCGGAAGAGCAGTGAGTACTCTGAACCACTGAGCCGTCGCTTCGGCCCCAGCACTCAATAACCACTAAGTGAAGTTTAAGAAAAATGTCTTTGGAAGAAGCAGGATCAAGAAAATACAGTTTCTCCTTAACAAAGGAGAAAACAAAGCAAAGGAGAAAAAAATGTCCTCTTTAATTGTAACTAGCCATGACCTAGGCCAGGGGACACTGTCCTTCAATCTACTGTGTGAAGCTGTATAAGCCTGGGTTTCACTATGTGCCAGGCCCTGCACTAAGCTACACACACACACACACACACACACACACACACACAAAACCTCTCAGTAGGAAATGATTCTACCCACTCTGTGTCTGCTCTAAGGGATGGAAAGAAGTGCTCAGTCCAGGTCAAGACTCACTCAGCCCCTCTCTGCCCCGGGCCGGGAGGCGGTTCCTGACAGCCACTTGTATCCACACAGCACGATGGGGCCTCTCTCCCTGGCAGTATGTAGAACATGTCGACATCATCCATAGTAAAGGATTACTCACAAAAAATCACCCATATTAGGCATTCCAGGGAAAAGCAAATAAAGGAATAATAAAGATTTTAAAAGACAATGGCTACCCTTGATAAAATTTCCATTTGGTATTTTGCCAAGAGTGAACTTTGTTCTCAAGTGAGTTTATTTTTACAAACTCAAAGTGCTAAATTTAACCTTCCTGGCTGCACTTGCTGCTGGATTCAGAGGGCAGATGCTGCTTCTCAAATGGCACTGGAGTGGTGTGGAGGCTCCACACACCCATTGTGTTTAAATGCTAGGAACAGAACCTCCATTCAGAACTGGTGAACCGCACACATCAGGCTCATTCATGGATTTGTGTGTGTGTGTGTGTGTGTGTGTGTGTGTGTGTGTGTGTGTGTGTGTGGCTGTTTTTAACTGAGGGTGGATCCTAGGATTTCATATATACTGCTGGGCAAACCACCAAGTCATACCCTCAGTTCTTTTTTAAAACAGAACAAAACAAAAAAGCAAAATGAGATAGTGCTTATTAAGTTGCCCAGGCTAGCCTTGAACTCACTCTGTAGCCACGGCAGGTCCTGAATTTGTGATCCTCCTGCTTTAGCTTCCCAGAGATTACAGGGCGGGATTACAGGCCTGTCCTACCAGCTGTGGCTCTCACAGAGTCTTCACTTGTGCCTGGACAGAGCCACAGATCTGAACAAGCCTTGTGTGGACGGGAACAAAAGCTCAAACACCACTCTTGGTGAAATCTTTCATCTTTTTGCATTGCATCTTAATGCTGCAAAGTAGAATACGATACATGTGCATGCACAAGCGTGTGTGTGTGTACACCTGTGCGCTTGTGTGTTTGTGTGCACATGCACATGTATGTGGTGTGTGTGTACACCTGTGCTTGTGTGTTTATGTGTGCACATGCACATGTATGTGGTGTCATATGAGTTCTTATGTGTGTGAGGGTCTGAAGAATGCAAAATGAAGATTTTCGTGTAGTTCCTGCAGAAAGCAATAAATCCAAACCATTCCTGTGCCCATCACAGAGGGGCGGTAAGGACACATTACTGTGGCTTTCACCGGATTTAGATCCACATAGATTCTTGCTCCTAAATTTTTTCCTGGGGTAGGTCTTGCTGGGAAACATCTCTAAGTCCAGCACTCAGAAGCAGAAGCAAGAGAATCTCTGAGTTTGAGGCCACCTGGACTATATACCAAATGCTTTCCCTATTTCTTTTTCTTCCTTTCTTTCTTTTCAAATTCCCTTTATTTATTTTTTGTGTGTGCGTACCCTCATGCATGAACCATATCATGTATGTGGTAGTCAGAGAGCAACTTGTGGGAATCAGTTCTCTCTCTCCACTTCTGGGTCCTGGACTGACCTCAGGTCAGGCTTGGTGTCCAGAGCCTTTACCCACTGACCCACCTCACCAACCTGATTTTTTTCCTAAGAGTCTTACTACTATGAAGCTCAGTCTGACCTTAAACTCAAAATCTTCCTCTCTTTGCCTCCCTAGTCCTGGGATCACAGGCCTTCCTATACCACCACACACAGATCTTTCCTGATTTTTAAAAGATAAAACCCAATTTAAACAGCCCAGTCTGCATAGTGAGACCCTGTCTCAAAAATCCCTAAACAAACAAACAAAATTAATTTAACAATGAAGTATTTAACTTCCCCTCATTTGGGGGGTAGCCAGCTTTGCCCTGTAGAAATGGAGGGCAGAGGCGAAGTCCCTGAGGGGAGGGATAAGACACCAGCACTGAACCGTTCCTCACGTTCCTCCTCAGCGCCCTGCTTTGCAGTAGGAGAATCTTCTCTGGCATGTGTGGAGCTCCTGTCCTGAAGTCAGGACTGTGCCTGCAGCCCAGGACACAGAATTAGTAAGATAGTCTGCTTCTGGGGCCAGCAGTCCGGAGAGGGAACCGGCATGCACCTATGGACCACTAATGCTGTTGATCAGTACCGTGCTAGCAGGAAGAGCAAAGTGCTTTAAACACAGGAAGGGTGGGTTAACTCGGTGGGAGGCAGGAGTACGGATGGGTCAGCAAGGGCTTAGAAGCACTGTGACCAAAGGACTAATTTTATCAGTATACACTTAAAGACATCTAGAAATAAAGCTTAAAAGATGCATTATGGTTTGAAGAATAATCGATCAGAGCCCAGTTTGCAAAGCCAAGATGCAGTTACTTTGTGTGTGTGTGTGTGTGTGTGTGTGTGTGTGTGTGTGTGTGTGTGTGTTTCTAAATTGCGCATGGGGGCAGTTTGATTGGAATTTAAAATGAAACTACTAGCTGAGACAGGGCTACTGCCAGGACGCCCCGTAACACCTGGAGCTGTAAGCCAAGCGGGAGACACCGTCTCTTGTGAGCGAGAGAGAAGAAAGCTCTTTCACGTCCACGCTACTGAAAAGCCAGCAGGAGTCACTCACTCTTCTATGCTCCACAAGCAACAAGACACCAGATTCCAGGCTAACAACTTCTTTTGTTCTTACTGGATTTTGTTTTGTTTTGCTTTTTTGAGATAGGGTCTCGCTGTGTAGTTCTGGCTGTCCTAAAATTCTGTAGACCAGGCTAGTCTCTAACTCCTAGAATCGCCTGCCTCTGTCCCGAGTGCTGGGATCATGGTATGTGCCACCACTGCTTGGCTCAAGTCAGCAACTAAACTTCTGGTATCACTCAAAAAGGGAGGCTGGCTCAATCAAATTTCTTTCTAGGTAATGTGTGATTTAGGGACTGTGAAGGAAACCAGATAGCACTGAGAACTTTATGAAGAAGCTTGGGATGCAAAATGGGTCCAGTGACTGGCAACAAGAGCAACAGTTAGGATGCACCAAGTCCCACAGGTGTCCTCTGACTGTCACACACAAGTTGTGCATTTGTACACGGCCCTTCTTCTTCTTCTTCTTCTTCTTCTTCTTCTTCTTCTTCTTCTTCTTCTTCTTCTTCTTCTTCTTCTTCCTCTTCCTCTTCCTCCTCCTCCTCCTCCTCCTCCTCCTCCTCCTCCTCCTCCTCCTCCTCCTTCTTCTTCTTCTTCTTCTTTTAATGTGCATTGGTGTTTTGCCTGGATGTATATCTATGAGAGGGTGTTAGATCATGGAGTTGCAGGCAGTTGTGATCTGCCATGTGAGTACTGGGAATTGAATGTGGGTCCTCTGGAAGAGCAGGAGGTGCTCTTAACCTCTGAGCCATCTCTTTAGACTCTTGTACATGTTCTTGCACAGATAAAAGCAATTTTTTGAAAAAAGAAAAAAAAGGCAGGTAGTAAGACAGAAGAGCTAGTACATACCTATAATCTAAGTCCTCAGGAGGATCAAAAATCCAGGGCTGCATAACAGCAGGTTAGAGGCAGAAACAGGCAGATTTCTGAGACCAGCCCGAACTACACAGTGAGTAGTCACAAGTCAGGGATGGGCAGTGGTGGCTCACGTCTTTAATCCTAGCACTTGGGAGGTAAAGGCAGGCGGATCTCTGTGAGTCCGAGGCCAGACTGGTCTACAGAGTGAGTTCCAGACAGCCAGGACTGTTTTACAGAGAAACTCTGTCTTGAAAAACAAAAAACAAACAAACAAACAAGTCAGTTAGGGCTATGTAGTAAGCCCATCCCCCTGTGGGGGCAGGCGGCAGAGAAGAAGATACAACAGGAGAATACAATGATGCCCAAGTTCCTAAGTTTTCCAGTCCTGGTCACATGTCAATAAACGTCCATTCTTTGCGGTATTATCTGAGTGAGTGTCTGCTCTGTCTCTGTTTAAGGAGGGGGTCAGAAGGCTGGGAGACCTCATGACAGCCTGCTTGGCCTTACTTACTTTGCTGTTTCTCCTTCCAACAGCTTGTCTGAATGTAGTCAATATAGTCTTTCTCAATTGTTTTCTCCAGGTCACGAAGAGAAGCTCCTCTGTAGGCCTTGTCAAAGTTTTTATCCACGAAGTAAGGCACCTGCAGGTTCTGCGTTTCTCTAGAAATGGTATAGCCCAAGGTTCTGAAACAGAGAGTGGCTCACATCAGCTAGTGCTACTTGTCAATCTTACTCTTAGATGGCCTCTAAACATGACTGCCAGCATCTCCTAACATTTGTTAGCACTATAGGCAGTGGGAGGCAGGAGTACGGATGGGTCAGCAAGGGCTTAGAAGCACTGTGACCAAAGATTGAAAGCAAGCAATTTGACAATTACCAAAGTAGCTTACAGTTTATTCTCTCTCTCTTTTGGTAAGGTATAGCAGAAGAGGGTACCTGATCCCATAGGGCTCCAGTTATGGTTGTGAGCATGTGGATGCTGAGAGTTGAGCTCAGAACCTCTGCAAGAGCAGTCAGTGCTCTTAACTGGAGCATCTTTCCAGCCCAAGGCTCGCCTTTCTTACAAGTCTTTCTGTGTGAAAAGTAGAATGACTAAACCTTTAAAAGTTTGTTTTGAGGGTTGTAGATGTGGCTCAGTTGGTATAATGTTTGCCTAACATACAGGAAGCCCTGGACTTTTTCCTAGTACCAAATAAAACTAGTAGTGGCACACCTCTGTAGAAGGAGGATGAGAAGTTCAAGGTCATCCTCAGCTACTCGGGGAGTCCAAGTCTAGTCTTGGCTGTATGAGACCATGTCTCAGAATAATTTGTGGAAGACATGGCACTGGGGAAATGGCTCAGCAGGTAAAGGTTTTAGCCATGTAAGCCTGAGGATCTCAGTTTGATACCTGGAACCCATGTAAAAAGCCAGACAAAGTGGGAAGCATCTGTAATCTCAGCACTTCTCCAGTAAGGTGGGAAGTAGAGCAGAGAGTTAGCTGGAAGCACATAGCCCAGCTAGCCTGGAATATGAAACAGTGGCTGAAACAAGAGAGACCTAAGGTAAGGTGCTGTGGGATAATGATCTTGTACACTGTTAAGATTTCTCACTTGTATAGGTTTAATGTTGATTGTCCAGTAACCAGGCAGGAAATATAGGCGGGACAAGCAGACTAGGAGAATCCTGGGAAGAAGAAAGGCAGAGACCAGACACAATTGCAAGCCAGATGCAAAAGGAAGCAAGATGAGAATGCCTTACTGAAAAAAGGTACCAAGCCACGTGGCTAAACATAGATAAGAGTTATGGGTTAATTCAAGTTGTAACAGCTAGTTAGTTTTTTTTTTGTTTGTTTTGTTTTTCGAGACAGGGTTTCTCTGTAGCTTTGGTGCCTGTCCCGGAACTAGCTCTTGTAGACTGGCTTGAACTCCCAGAGATCCACCTGCCTCTGCCTCCCGAGTGCTGGGATTAAAGGCGTGCGCGCCACCACCGCCCGGCTAAGAGCTAGTTAGTAATAAGCATGAGCTAATAGGCCAAACAGGTTTTCAAGACAAGGTTTCATTCACTGTGTATCTTTGATTGTTCTGGAATTCTCTCTCTCTGTAGATCAGGCTGGCCTCAAACTCACAGAGACCCGCCTGCCTCTGCCTCCCACGTGCTGGGATAAAAAGCGTGCACCACCACCATCTAGCTAAGTCTTTCATTTTTTAAGCTGTTACTAAGGAAAAAAATTGGAAATATTCCACTTACGATTTATAGAATAGACTATATGGGGGGTTAGTGGCCAGCAGCTGAGTAATGACAGAAATAATCACAATCACCAGAACTGGAAGCAGCTGAACAAATGTGGAATATGGAGTCTGTAAAAGAAAATAGTGAAGTGTGTGAGAATACACCATCCCAAAGGAATACAGATAATTAATGCACTGCACAGGAGTGTCCACAAGGTTAAGGTTTGCCCGGAAGGCCCAACTTCACCCTAGAACCAAATAACTCATTTTCTCTCTGGAGAGAGGCTAAAGGAAGCCCCTCCGACCTGGACCATCAATAATACCACTGTCCCTTATCTCTAGGTAAGCCTGCCGGACACGGATGGGACTCCAGCAGTGGCCAGGGTTAAGCAGCTCTTACTCTGCTGTTGTTGTCCAAAACTGGTGACATCCAACTTGTGTCAAAGACGACCACATTCTCCCTTGACAACGTGGGGTCGAGGTTCATCACACATCTTATTAACTACTGTTTGGAGAAAGGGCACATTCTCTCTGGGTTGTGAACAAGCCAGAGGCATAGTATGTTGTTGTTGCTGTTTTTGAATATGTACACGAGTGTTTGGCCACCATGATAGCTCAGAAGTCAAGAGGCTACCAAGCCTGAGAACCTGGGTCTGATCCCAGCAGCACTGCCTTTTGAGCTTCTTGTGAGACTCTCCTGGTCAGCCTGGTCCACAGAGAGAGAGCTCCAGGATAGCCAGGGTTACACAGAGAGAACCTATCTCAAAACAAACAAACAACAACAACAAAAATCCTTAATAGACAGAGAAAGGAAGGAAGGGAGGGAGGGAGGGAGGGAGGGAGGGAGGGAGGGAGGGAAAGAAAATACAGCCTTACAGGAAAACTGGGATCCTAGGAAAACATGAAAAGGGATTAGGGATGGAGGATTACTAACACTGTCCAATTCGGGACAGTTATCCAGCTCTTCTTATCATAGCATAAAGTACGTTTTACCAGCATAGCTCAATTGCACTTCCAGGACTGATTATATACCACAGGAGCAGGCTCAGTATGGCCACGAGTAGGAGCTCGACTGCACACACACCTGAGGTTTGTCTTCTTCCTCTCTCTTGTGTGTCTGTGTCCTCTCATGGCGGGGTCGCCTGCGATAATAGTGACTGTCATCTGTCACATTTGAGAACATGTGAATATTTCCTGAAAAACAGATATTAGAGAGAGGGAAGGAGAAAGAGAGAGAGAAAACATTTATGAGATGGTAATTCCCTTTTGGTTCTTTTCAAAGTCTTGTTCCCAAGAAGGCTAAAGATAGGGCATCTGCCTATCTGGCCCAGCAGAAAAAGAAGACAACAGGTGAGCCAAAGGGCCAGCTGGGCAGGGGGTGTGCGAGGTCCTCTGGAAGAGCAGTCAGTGCTTTTAACCGCTGAACCATCATCTTCCCAGCCCAGGCACTACCATCTTTAATAGCCACTCATAAAATTCAATGTATTGCCAGGTGGTGGTGGTGCATGGCTTAAATCCTAGCACTTGGGAGGTAGAGGCAGGTGGATCTCTGTAAGTTTGAGGCCAGCCTGGTCTACAGAGTTCCAAGACAGTCAGGGCTGTTCCACAGAGAAATCCTATCTTAAAAAACAAAAACAGCAAAAACAACAACAAAAAAATACAATTTGTGTTGGTGTGTAGCTTAGCATGGGATACATGCCAACCATGCTGGAGGTTCTGGCTGCATCCCTAACACAAAAATTCAACTTACTATCGTTTTATTTTTTTCGATTTCTTCCTTCCTTCCTTCCTTCCTTCCTTCCTTCCTTCCTTCCTTCCTTCCTTCCTTCCTTTCTTTTTAGACAAGGTTTCCCAGTCCGCAGCTATGGAGCCAGTCCTGGAACTCACTCTCTACACCAGGTTGGCCTTAGACTCACAGAGATCTGCCTATCTCTGCCTCCTGAGTGCTGGGATTAAAGGTGTGTGCAACTACCTCCTGGCTCATTATGATTTTTTAAAAAGATTTATTTTTATGTATATGGGTATGTGGTGTTTTTATGAGAATGGATCTCACAGGTTTATGCATTTGAATGTTTGGTCCCCGTTAGTGGGACTGTTTGGGAAGGATTAGGAGGTGTGGCCTTGCTGAAGTAGCTGTGGTCTTGTTGGAAGAGACTGTCAGTGGGGTTGGGCTTTGAGGTTTCAAAAGTCCATGCCAGGCTCAGTTTCCCTGTTTCTGACTGCTGCCTGTAGATCATGCTGCGGAGTTCTCACTACTGCTCTATTGCCATGCCTTCCCATCATGAAGATAATAAACTAGCCCTCTGAAACTATAAGCAAGCCCCAAATTAAACACCTCCTTTTATAAGAGTTGCCTTGGTCACGATGTCTCTTCATAGCAACAGAACACTGGCTAAGACAGGTGTTTTGACTGCTTGCATGTCTGTGCACTATATGAACACAGTACCCACAGAGGCCAGAAGGCATCACAAGGATGCACCTGGAGAAGGAGTTACAGATGGGAGTAAGCTGTGTGTGTGTGTATATGTGTGTGTGTATATGTGTGTGTGTGTGCTGGAAATTGAACCCAGGTCCTCTACATGGGCAAGTGCTCTTAACTACTAAGCCATCTCTCCAACCCCAAATTTATGTGATTTTGTTTGTTTAAATATTTATTTTATGGGGGCTGGAGAGATGGCTCAGTGGTTAAGAGCATTGCCTGCTCTTCCAAAGGTCCTGAGTTCAATTCCCAGCAACCACATGGTGGCTCACAACCATCTGTAAAGAGGTCTGGCGCCCTCTTCTAGCCATCAGGCATACACACAGACAGAATATTGTATACATAATAAATAAATATTTAAAAAATATTTATTTTATGTTGCTGGGTGTGATTACACATACCTTTAATCCTCACACTCAAGGCAGAGGCAGGCAGATCTCTGTGAGCTTGAGGCAAAACTGAACTACAGAGCTTTCCAGAACAGCCAGGCCTACATAGAGAGACCTTGTCTTAAAAGAACAATAAATATAAATAAATAAATATGGGCTTTATTTAACATTTTTTATCTTTTATTTTACATACCCACCACAGTTTTCTCTCTCTCCTCTCCTCCCATTCCCTCCCCTCAACTCCCCACAACCTCCAGAGCTCAAGTGTTTCTATCTGTATACATGTGTACCACATGCAAGCCTGCAGAAGTCAGTCCCTTGGAGCTGGAGTCACAAATGTTTGTGAGTCACCATTCGAGCACCAGGGCTCCAGCCTAGGTTCTCTGAAAGAGCAGCCAGTACCCTCACACTGAACCCCAGATACATATTTTGTTTTTGTTTTGTTGTTGTTGCTGATGGTGGTGGGTTTGTTGTTGTTGTTTGTTTGGTTTTTCTTTTTGGTTTTGAGAGACAGGGTTTCTCTGTGTAGCTCTGGCTGTCCTGGAACTCACTCTGTAGACCAGGCTGGCCTTGAACTCACAGAGATCTGCTGCCTCTAACTCCTAAATGCTGGGATTAAAGTCATGTACCCCACTGCCTGACAGAACTTTTGAAAATATTACATTTATTTTAGATTGTGTTTGTGTACGTGCGCACGCCCACATGTGCACATGTATACATGCATACAAATCACATGTATGGAGGCTAAAGGACAATGTTCAGGAACTGTGTCTCTCCTTCCACCATGTCCGACCCAGAGATAAATCACGTCTTCAGGCTTGGTGGGAGGAGCCTTTACCTGCTGAGTCATCTCACTAGCCCCAGCATTAATTTTTATACATGAATATCACATACTTAGGCCATATTCACTTCTCTCCTTTATTTTATCTTGTCTCCCCCTCTCCCTGGTCCCCTCTTTTCTCAAAGAACATTTGTGTTGGGGGGAGGCCTAACTTCTTTGTAACTGCAATTCTGTGATGATGGCATTAATGAAAGGTATTTAGTCTGTAAGCTCTCTGTAACTACCTGACCCTGATGGGCATGACTAGTCCTTCAGCCAGGCATAGCAGTACAGTCTGCAACCACAGCCACTGGAAAGGCTGAGATAAGAGGACAGCAAGTTCAAGGCTATTGTGGGTACACAAGGGGTTCAAAACCAGCCAGGGCACTTAGACTTTGCCTTGGGTTCAGTCTCTATATCATATGAATATATATATATATATATATATATTTTATATTTCATAGCAGTCCTGAAATATCAGCCCCATTTTTCAGGTGGGTGACTACAGTAAAAGAAATCAGATGATATGGTCAAAATTCTGCACAGCTGGAGGCTAGAGACTTCGTCACCTTCCACTCAGCTCACTCCAAATTCTTGCTGTTTCTCTAGCACTGATGTTCTTCTATTCAGATCTTCAAACAAGAATTTGCTGAGATCCATAAATAAATTGTGGAAAGAATCCTAATTTTAGCCTGGCATGGTGGCACACACCTTTAATCCCAGCACTCAGGAGGCAGATGCAGGCAGATCTCTGAGTTCAAGGCCAGACTGGTCTACAGAGTTCCAGGACAGCCAGGGCTATACAGAGAAACTCTGTCTTTAAAAAAAAAAACCATAATAATTTTAATTTTAAGATAAGAACCTCAGGTCAGCTGGCATATGCCTTTAATCCCAGCACTCGGGAGGCAGAGGCAGATGGATCTTCGTGAGTTCGAGACCAGCGTGGCCTACAGAGCTAGTACCAGGACAGGCTCCAAAGCTACACAGAGAAACTCTGTCATGGGGGAGAGGGGGAAAGATAATAACCTTGACTCAGTGGTCAAGAGCACTGGCTGCTCCTCCAGAGAACCCAACATCCACAGCCACTCACAAAAGTGATTCTTGTTCCAGGGTTGTCCTCTTCTAACCTTTGTCACCAGATACACATAGGGTGCACAGACATACATGCGGGCACCAGATACACAGAAGGCGCATAGACATACATGCAGGTACCAGACACACAGAAGGCGCATAGACATACATGCGGGAAAAACTTAAAAAAAAAAATACCAACCTGAAGGAAAATGTCCTCCAAAGAACACATTGAATAGTTCCTCTGGAGAGATGTCAGCTTCGAAATCCCTGTAATAATGGTAAGATCTGGCTCGAGGTGCAGTGAAAGTCACCTGCTCATCTCCATACTGATCGTAGCGGAGTCTCTTGTCGGGATTGCTCAGGACCGCAAAGGCATTTCCTATTGCTGTAACCAACAAGAAGCAGCACATGAGCACATCCTTGGCTGCGCCGGGGGGTGACCACTGCAGCAGCGATGGCAAGAAGCCCGGAGCCGGTGCTAGACTGCTGCACAGAACTCCAAAGAGAGGTACTTAGGCCTACAAAGTTCCCCTGAAGGACTCCCCCCCAGAGACTGCTCATAATCTTGATAAAACAGAAACAGCACTAGCACCCAACAACTAGGAACTGCTACTGAAGTGAGCATTGACCCCTAGCCAACGTTCTCACGTCATTCAGCTCTCCTGACATTGGGGCCCTGCCCCTACCCGAGGCTGCCAATAATGTCAGAATGTTGAGGCTGCCAATAATGTCAGAATGTTGAAGGAATGAATGACTAACATTCCTGTTATTCAAAAATAGAATTTGGGGGGCTGGAGAGATGGCTCAGAGGTCAAGAGCACTTGCTGCTCTTGTAGAGAAGCCAGGTTCAGTTCTCAACGTTGCAATAGGTACTGACAGCAGCCTGTAACTCTAGTTTCTGGGGTTTTGACACCTGTTCAGGTCTCTATGGACATCTGTACACATAGACAAATAAGCACACACAAACAGAAACAGAAATTTAAAAGAAAGGTGTTCTGCCAGGCAGTGGTGGCACACGCCTTTAATCCCAGCATTCAGGTTGCAGAGGCAGGTGGATCTCTGAGTTCAAGGCCAGCCTCGTCAACAGAGAGAGTTCCAGGACAGTCAGAGAAATACACAGAGAAACCCTGTCTCAAAACACCACAAAAACAAACTAACAAAAGCCTGAAAGGCTCACCAGAGTCTCACTTGAGCACATTCTAAGAAACAGTCTTCTGGATCTGAGAAATGTACCTGCGAGAGCAGAACACTATACCTGTGACCCCAGCACTTGAGGAGGAGGACCAAGTGCTCAAGGCCACCCTTAGCTATGTGGCCAGTTTGAGGATAACCTGGGCTCAAGTCTTAGAAAAGCAAAAACAGGCAGGCAGAGGCTCTTCTGCCCTCCTTGTACATGCTGTGGCATACACACACAGATTCAGGTGTCTGCTGGTGTCAACAGTCAGAAGGAGCACTTTGTTAGGATTCTTCTATAAAACTCTAATGTTTGCATTAAAACTAGCTAAGCAGAAAAACACTGTCTCAAAAAAAAAAAAAAAAAAAAGCCAGAGCTCTTAAACACTGAGCTATCTCTCCAGAGGTGCCCACAGACGGTTCAGTGAGTAAAGGCACTTGTCATTTGGCCTGATGACTGAGTGCAATCCTTGGAAGCCACATGGTCTACATGGAACCACATGGAATGAACCAACTCCTGCAAGCTGTCCTTTGGCCTTCAGACACCCACATACCCATATCCACACAAATAAAAAAGACTTTCAAGTTTTTTCAAGTCTTTTTTTCTTCTTTTTCAAAATACCAAACATACAGAAAGGTTTATGGGGCTATGTTTTGTTTTGGTTTAGTACAATAAAGACACAGAAGCTGGGCCTGGTAGAATGATGAGAAGGAAAAAGCAGGACAAGTCCGAAAGAAGGAACCGCTCTTCTTCCTGGGCTAGGATGAGGCTCTGGGAGTCACCTACTCACACAGTGGTCAGTTTTCTCAAAGGAAGAAGGCATGGGTCCACTAGCCTTGAAATTTGCTGTTGTCTCAATTGGTGGGCAGTGCAATTCACCTTTTCCCAAGGAGCAAGAACAGCAATTGTCTTCAGGAGTCCAGTTCTGCCTCGCTTCACAGCACACAAACTCCTCGTCCTCCATTTCTCTGCCACCTGCCTGCTTGCTTCTTCTTCTCCTATTGCTCCACCACCCACTCAGTTCCCACAGTGCTCAGCTGCATGCTGGGCTGTGGTGCTGTCTCTGTGCTTCCTGGACTGTCTGCCCTCTGCACACCAGGGGCAGCATGGTGGGCTTCTCGATTGATTAATTCTTAGTATTTTATTACATTGTAACTCTCCATCAAGGGCTAGAGAGATTTAGGTCACGGCTATTGCCATTGGCTTCAATCCCTAGCACAGCAAGCAATCCAAGCAGGAGACAAAGCTGGTATTCAGCTGTCTCTATATAAACATTATTATACTGATTTTCTTGAGGATTTTAGATCAGTATTCTGTTTGTCTGTTTGTTTGTTAGTTTGTTTTTCGAGAAAGGGTTTCTCTGTGTAACAGCTCTAGCTGTGCTGGAACTCACTTCCTAGACCAAGCTGGCCTTGAACTCACAGAGATCTGCCTGACTGCCTCTGCCTTTGCTGGGATTAAAGACATGTGCCACCACTGCCTCGCTGTATGGTGTTTTCTTACCAGCATGCCAATAACATGTAACATGAACAAGGAGTTCCCTGGTCATAGAAGTTTGAAGTGCTCCTGGAAGCTGTGTGAAAACAGTTCCCGACCTCTAAGTGTCACAGGACATGCCAACTTGATTCATTCACTTGTTATCTAGAAGGTCATCTTAAAAACAAGTTTTAAGGGGCTGGAGAGATGGCTCAGTGGTTAAGAACACTGGCTGCTCTTCCAGAGGTCCCGAGTTCAATTCCCAGCAACCACATGGTGGCTCACAACCATCTGTAATGAGATCTGGCGCCCTCTTCTGGCATGCGGGCATACATGGAGGCAGAATGTTGTATACATAATAAATATATAAATCTTTAAAAAAAAAAACAAGTTTAAAAATGTATGTGTATGTATAAGTGAGCAGCTGCAAAGGCCAGGAGAGGACACTGGGTCTCTGGTGATGCCACGCGTCTTATAGGAGCTGCTTGACAAAGCTCCAGTGCTCGGACGACTTGGACTGACCCTTCACAGCCCTGGTGGAATTTCCTACACAACTCTTGCCTGTGTCTTTGAAATGCTTGGTGTTCGAATTCATTGCTGTGAAGAGCCCCTTACTTAAGGCTAGAACTGGGATAATGTAACAATTCTTATAAAAGCTGATGTTAGTAAGAATAAAATTTATGATGGTTCCCTAGGAGAATTAGTTAGGCAAGATATTTGAGTCTTCTATAGAATCTACTACTTAGGTGGTATTAGTAAGTTTGAGACAGGATTTGGAAAAAAATCATTAAAGAAGAAAAACTCAGGGAAATTTTAGAAGCTGGCAAACTATAACTGAATCATTGGGTGTTCATGTTCTGTCTCAGAAACACGAAACTAGCATGGGCAGGAAATATTAATGACAGGCCTGGTGCCCTCCTGAGCTAAGCAAGCAGTTTTAGGAGCCTTGATGTTCTGCTCATTGCAGGATTGTGATAAAGATAGAGACCATGCTGAAAACAAGGGTTTATGACAGAGACACAAAGAGAAACATCTGGCTCAGTGAACTGCCTGGCTTCCTGAGGAGACTCACAGATCAGGACTTCTCTGACTGTAGGAGGAATAAAGCGAAGAGCATGGTACTTCAGAGGTCAAGGGAAAGGATGGCGGTCTTACAGTAGATATAAAAGAAAGAATCTAAACAAGGGACCAAGAAATTAGATTTCAGTAGAAAGATCAGCTATTCACATTACAGTAGATTAATAAGTAATACCGTAGAAGCGTGATATAACAGGTAGGAGGAAATAAGTTCTGATCTATGAACTTAGTCAAACAAATAGAGACATCTTTGTCTAAGTTCTGTAACCACAGACTTTTACAACACCAATTAAAAAAAATTGAGTTAAAAGAATTGATTTTATCACAATGTTAGTTTTCAGTTCTCATTAAATTCACTGTTCTGTTTTTTTACTTTGATATGTTTACGTAATCAAGGAAGACTTTAGAAAAAGTATGTAGCACGAAAAAGACTGTAATCAATGTTAAAGTCTATGGGGAAATGATTTTGAGTCTAAATAAAGTCTATGATGACTGGGCAGTGGTGGCGCACCCCTTTAATCCCAGCACTCGGGAGGCAGAGGCAGGAGGATCTCTGTGAGTTCGAGGCCAGCCTACTCTATAGAGTGAGTTCCAGGACAGGCTCTCTACACAGAGAAACCCTGTTTGTTTGTTTTTTTTTTTTCCGAAAAAAACACAAATAAATAAATAAAATAAAGCCCGTGAGAGGTGCAGGTTGTCAGAGTAGGTCAAGCCATCCAGAGATGTGCTTCCTCTCTGTCCCTCTTCCGTGAAACAAAACTAAGGGGTGTCCTGTGTCTGATTTCTCTGTTGCTGCTCTTGCATCCACCCACTTAAAAGTTTGAAAAAGAAGTTGGAAAAGATGTAGGATATTGGTACACTAAGCATGGCCCTAAAGAGATGCCTATTCAAGCATTTCTTTGTGGACCCTTATTAAACAAGCCCTGACTGCAGAAGAAGGGACAGATCTCCCCGACAACGTTTCTGAAAGAATTTCTGTTGTTAACATAAAATCTCCTTCTAAGCCTCCTGAACTAAAACATGTAGATTTAATTGATCTGTTAAATAATGACTCAGAAGAATCTGATCCTGAGGATGCTCCTTAGGAGCCCTAAGATCCTCATGATGCCCAGGATTTAGAAGAAGCTGCGAGATCATGATAAAGATTGGCCTCCCCCTTATGATAAGTCATCTGCTCCTCCTCTTAGAAAAAAAAGAGATCAAACATCAAAGCTCAGAACTCAAGCTTTCTGGCACCTCTTTTAAGATGCTCCCCTCTTATTTATGGGGACAAAGAGGATAGAGAATGATGAACCTTCCTGAGAACCACTGCCTTGTGAGCTTGTTAAAGAACTACAGGAGGCAGTTGCCAGCTATGGGCCATGTCACCTGATGTTACCGCATTTTTGAAGAACTTTGGTACTTATTGGATGATTCCTAATGATTGGCATCAACTGGCTAAAGTGTGCCTACCAGGAGGACATTTCTTATTATGAAAGGAGGAATATGAGGAAGAAGCCAAAAAGGAAGCTGGCATCAGAAAGAGAAGAGGATCTAGATCTTTCTATGCTGTTGGGAGCGGGCCAATGGACTGATCCTAGGTAACAGGTAAACATACCCAGAAAGGTTTGCTTTTGATGTCTGATTTGGTTATTGCTGCTTGGAGAAATCTGCCTGCT